AAAAAAAAAAAAAAACTTATTTCAAAACTCAAATATAAACCAAACGGGACCTACCATTTTACTGCTTCTCGAATAATGCTGTCAGATGGTACAAATTCTTCTATAATACATTTTTTTTTTAATTTATCAAATATATAAAATAACTTTTGATTGTAATGCAAAGTCAATTTCAAACCGGGCCTAAGTTAGCAAATGAGAATTCTTATCTTATTAATAAAACACCCCAGCTCTGGTTTTAATTTTCTTAAAAGGAGGCCAGAAGATCGGTCTGCATCAATCGCCCTAGCATTTTTCGTGTAAAAAATTAACGGTTCTCCTTCTTCTCTTACCACAAGAAAAAAATGATTTGGTAAAACTGATGTCCTAAAAACTATTATTTTCAATGAAAATATAACAGTGTTTGTGTCTGGTCGAAAAATATTTTTAACCACAAATCGTATGAGATTCATAACTTTTGCCATAATTTTGAAACTTCGAATCAATTATATTTATTTGGAATTGTTTATAGAAATTATCTACTTTTAAAATAATTCGAATTTGAATTTGGCCACATCCATAATAACTCCTTCCTACCTACCTTCCGTTATCCTGTTGCTTTTTCGAAAGGGGACCAGCCTTTGCCTCCCCTGTCAATGACGACTTGACGGAAAAAGAGTACCGTTTAATTTGAAGAATATTATCGAAGGGATATAATTGAGTGCGTAGTAAAATATTGGATTATCAGCAATTTACATTTAATTTAGCAGACGTCATATTTTTGCTGAAAGCTATATATCTAATGTAAAATAATCCCTGCATGTCACTTTATAGTATTGGATGTAACCATCCAGCAAAATGCAACTTGCAGGAGGTCCACTCTAAGCTAATAACAGCTACGTTTCTTGACTTGAATATGAGTAGACCCACTAATAATACGGTTTACAACTTTAAGAATATTATTATTCATTCTGTATGAAATCCTTACGTAAAAGAAAATTTTCAATGAAGCTAATAACAGCTACGTTTCTTCTTTTGTACAAGTAGCAAGGTCCTTTCACAAAATGTTCAACATGCATGGCCAACACCCCTCCCTATAAAACCCTAAGCAATTTCCCTCATTTTACTCACAACTTTTAATATATTTTCTAGTTAAATGGCAACTCAGAAATGGACAATGTTTTGCCTACTAGTTATATTAAGTTTGAGTAGTGTGTCCTGCTCTGCCAAAAACACTTATGAAGTGGAAATAGGAAATCAATGTGGGTTCACAAGATATCCAAGCTTGTGTATAGAAACCCTCACAGAATCAGGCACCAGAAATCAAGCTGAATTCATGTCTGTCCTTGTTAATAAGACAATTTCTGAATCCAAGCTGCCTGTTTCTAACTTTGAGCAACTCAGTGTCCATTTTGTCTCTCAAGAAGCCCAACTTGCCCGAATGGCTATGGGTATTTTTTTAACTTATTTTTATTTCGACAAAACATGAATAGTATTTCCTTGTGGGATTCTCGATTTTTGAGCTAATATAACTTCTTTATTATCTTTTCCATTTTTGATGACTGTTGTAGACTATTGCCATGAGCTGATGGATATGTCGCTCAAACGACTCAACCAAGCATTTGACGCAATCAAGGAATCGCCAAGAAAACATAAACATGACATCCAGACATGGTTGAGTGCTGCCTTGACATATCAACAAACTTGCAAGGATGAAGCAGAGGCTCATGCTCCAACAAATGCGTTCATGGCTGAAATTTCCAAGAAAATGGACCTTCTTTCACAATTTGGCAGTAATCCACTTGCCATGGCGAACCGAGTCACTGGAAATCCAAAAACCAAAACTCCTTCAGGCAGGCGTCTGATGGAAGAACATATATTTCCTAATTGGGTATCAGCCAGTGACAGGAAGCTGCTTCAAAGTACAGAAATAAATGCAAATGCTGTTGTTGCAAAAGATGGAACGGGGAACTATAAAACAATCTCCGAGGCCATTCGGGCTGCAACAGGAAGCCGATTTGTGATACATGTTAAATCTGGAGTTTACAGTGAGAAAATTAACACCAACAAGGATGGAATTACCTTAATTGGAGATGGAAAATCCTCAACCATCATTACTGGGAGTAGTACTTCAGGGGGCTCGTCCCTTCAAGGGTCTGCAACATTTAGTGAGCTCTCTCTCTCTCTCTCTCTCTCTCTCTCTCTCTGTGCAGGCGCAGGAGAGTGATAAACAAATTGACTTGTCTTTTTACCTAATATCTTTTGCACGTACGGATCCTTTCGTACATAAAAATTGTAAATTTTGTACAACAACAGTATTAAACATGCCTATCTGTTTTCTAACAAGGACTGATTAGGATAGTGGGTTTATGGAATTTCATGCATAATAGCCGCCACTTTAGCGTTGTTATGGTAATTTTTTACTGATTAGGAATGTATAATTCAGATGCCCCATTTTTAGAGATAGGACTAGACAAAAATTCCGAACCGAACCGAATCGGACCCGAACTGAGCCTAGCCGAGCCGAATCGAACCGAACCGAGCAGTTCTTCATAAATTAAATATCCGAACGGGTATCTGAATCGAGAACCGATGTGCTTGGTTCGGTTCTCGGTTCTAGACTAAGAACCGAATCAAAATAATTTTTAGTTTTTTATATTGAATTAATTAAATTATTTTATTTTTTCTAAACAAATTAGAAA